CCTGCCTCCGCCTCCCAAGTAGCTGGGACCACAGGCGCCCGCCACAACGCCCGGCTATTTTTTGGTTGCAGCCGTCATTGTTGTTTGGCGGGCCCAGGCTGGGGATTCGAACCCGCCACCTTAGGTGTACGTGGCTGGCACCTTAGCCGGTTGAGCCATAGGCACCCAGCCTACCTCAAATTCTTGAGCTCAAGCAATCCTCTTGCTTCAGCCTCGAGAGCAGCTGGGACTACAGGTGTGCACTACCACACCCAGCTAGATTTGTTTTGTTTTTCTGTTTTTTAGTAGAGACTGAGTCTCACTCTTGCTCAGGCTGGTCTCAAACTCCTGAGCTCAAGCAGTCCTCCCTCCTCAGCCTCCCAGAGTGCTAGGATTACAGGTGTGAACTCACCCATCGGCCAGTAGGCCCTACTATAATCCACATTTCACACTGAGGAAATTGAGGGCTAGAAAGGTTAACCAACTCAGCCTAGATCGCACAGCCAGTGATTACAGGGGGAGTGGTGGAAGAACAAAAAGCAGAGAACTCCTCCTCATATGTCCTGGCACCAAGATTTTTAGAGATGCAACTGTGCTTGTTTCTGGATGTGCTAAAAAAAATTAATTCTCCTCAGTTACAGAGGACATTGTTTTAAAACTCAAAGAATAACAAAATGTTAGGTTTACATTGTGCTTTACAGTTTAAGATTAACTCAAAATCTTCATATTCAAAGCCACAATAAGGAAAAGTGAAGCCAAAAACTTGAAGAAGATATTTACAAAACACATATCTCTGATAAAAAGAGAGGTATCAGAATATATAAAAACAATTCCTACACATCAATAAGGGAAAGGCAGAAAGCATGACAGAAAAGTGAGCAAAGGATCTGAACAGGTGCCTCACAAAAGAGGCTGTCCAAGTAAGTGATCAATACATTTATGAAAAAGTGTTCAATCTCATTAGTCATCAGGGAATTACAAATCCAAACCGAAATGCCTAACTTATCCATCACAATATTGACACCTCATAGGCAGGAATTTTGTTTATTCAAATAAGCACCACCCATCATGGACCCCGCAGAATCTCAACACTGACCTTCGAATTCCTGTCTCTGCCAACCCTCATCCCTCACCATCCTTCACCCTACAGAACCCTCTATCATTCACCCTATGGACTAGTATCCCCTGCCCTACAGACCACCCATTACTCACCCCACAACCGCCATCATTCAGCCCACTGACCCACCATGATTCACACCGGACCCCCTTCACCCATTCCTTAGACGCCTCATCGTTCATTCCACAAACTCTCCATCACATACCCTATACCATCATCCCTGGTCCCAGACTCTCCTATCGCTGTTCTTCATTTCACTCAGTCCAAAGAAGCCCTCCACCTGTCCCGCATCCATCACTAACCACACACCAGGCCCCTCATCCTGGCTCTGCTCTCAGGACCCAAAAGCTCATTCTCAAGCGTGGCTCCCCGCTGACCAAAATGCGTTTAACATTCCCCGAAAGGACCTTCCTTGCAGCCCCCCTCGGTGGGTCTGGGTGACGCCGGAGTTTATCTTTCGCAAAGCTCAGAAACAGACGAGAAGCTGAGCTCTCAGTAACAAAAATGGCGTCATCCCATCGCGCCAGGACTTATGTTGCCGGCAGAGGCCTCACATTGCTTCTTGAGGCTGCCATTCCCGCCCGAGGAGATTTGGGGGGCGGAGGAGTCCCCGTGATCTCTCCCCAGCAGGGTATTAGG